CTCTTTTTGCTCCTGCTCTGTTGCTCTGGCCTTCCTGCTTGGCCTTGCTGTGATGGCTTCTGAATAAAGCTCTGGTGTTGGCGCCTCCTGATGGCTCGTCTCTGTGTGTTTATCCAGTTGAGGACCGAAGACTGGTGAGTGAGTATGACTCTGGCAGCCTGCTCCTTATAGGAGGAGTGTTTGGCGTGGCCGGCATAAGGTCGGCGTGGCCGGTACATGTGATCTTGGGCAAGTAATTTAACTTCTCTGAGCCTCAGTTTCCTCCTCCATAAAATGTGGATAATAATACTTACAACATCTACCTCACAAGCTTGTTGTAAAGAATGTGCTTTGAAAACTAGAAAGCTATGAAGCAGAATTATTCCCCACCCCCTAAATAGACCACACTGTTTCCTTGAGGCTATTCCTAGCTTTGCTTCTTAACCTCCAGTCCCTGAGTCTGATCTTTGCCTATATCTTTGCCTTAGTCTGGCGCTGTTTTCCTAAGTACCTAAGTATGGACATACTTTCCTAGTGCAGTGAAAGAAGTCTTCACAATAGAGATTATAAAGTCAAGTGAATGAGCATTTCTCAAGAATGGGTCTGTTACTGAGATAAGAACACTCCCTTCATTCAGCTTTCTGTCCTTTCTGATTTTTTTGCTTTCTACTTGACTACTGACAAATCTTCAAATGGTTTAATTCCCTCAAACAGTGCTCCAAAAAATACAAACAATTCAAACTACAAATCACCCAAATGGCAGCTAATCTGATTGTCCCTTAGTGTTCTGCCAGCCAGAGCATTCTTGAGTGCAGGACTTCAAGTCATTTGGTGGCCACTAAGGCAACTAAGTGTCCTCAAGGGTCTGTCAGTCTTGGAGAGGATGTCTTTCTTTTTAATACATACATATTCATATATATATATACATATATATATATTTCCTAGTTAAATTAAAAAATTTAACATACATATAAAAAATTTTTGAGTTCCAAATTCTCTCCTTTCCTCTAACCCCTTCCAAACCTCTTGATAAGGTAAGCAATATTACATATGATGTCATCCAAAACATATTTCCATATTAGCCATGCTGCAAAAGAAAACACACATACACACACACACACAAGAAAAACAAAGTGAAAAAGCATGCTTCAATGTGCACTCAGGGTTCATCATATGTCACTCTGGAGGCAGATAGTATTTTTCATCATGAGTTCTTTAGAATTCTCTTGGAATTCTCTTTAGGATTCTTTGTCTTGATCAGAGTAGCTAAGTCTTTTACAGATGATCATGCTTACAATATTGCTATTATTATGTACTGTACAATGATCTGGTTCTACTCACTTCACTTTGTATCAGTTCATATAAGGCTCCCTTGGATAGGGTTTTGAAGTATTTTAGCTTCCTTTTTGGAAAAGGAATGAGTGAATAGAGAAGAAAAGGAGGCCATTTGTGCAGAAAGAATTTCCATTTAGCAAAACTACATATTGGGGAAGCACAGAACCATTTGATCTAAGTTGCTTATCTCTAGCTTAGCTGCACATGCTTCCCGCTTATTTCAGAACTTGACATTTCTTGGTGTTTGCCATTATGACCAGGAAATTTCTCTCCCTAACAAAAGATGACTTTAATCTACTTAGCCAACAGAGTCTAAATTATTACAATGAATCAATACCATAGCCATCCATCTTTAATAAATAAAATAATAATAATGCTTGATTTTCACCCAATTTATTCCATTTTAAAAGCGACATCATTTTCAGTAGGGTGTTCCTGGAATGCTGAGCCTCCTGGTGGAGGTCATTCATTGGCCAAGTGTCAGAAGGTCTAGGTTCTGGATCCCTTTGTGGAATAGGTAAAGATTGTATTCACAAACTTCTCTCTTCTTTCCTCTGCACTCACAGCCCCAAAGTGCTCTCCCTCTGTTTACAACACCAACCTTCCTAGACCAGCAATCCCTGAGTGTTGTGCCAGACTCCAAAATTACCTTCCCCTCCCTATCTTTCAGATAGGGTACCTATTTCCTTGGTACCCTTTCACAGAAGAATGAGATGTGACAAACAAATTCATAGCTTACCTTAAGATCTAAAGCTGAAAACAGAATTACATCTCCCAAGTTTGCCTCCTTCCTTCTTCTTCTCCCTCCCTCCCTCTCTCTCTCTCTCTCTCTCTCTCTCCATCTTTCTGTCTTTTTTTCCTGCCTATTTATCCAAATCATAGCCAAACAGAAATCAAAGAAGGTATAACTAAGATAACATATACCAGACAATAGAGAGTGAAGGAGCTGTCTCGTTGGGAATGAGGTAACTCAGCTCAACCAAGACAGAGGGTCCTTGATCTCACCCAAGGGGAAATTTCCCTGAAGTCTCTAGAGTAGTAAGCTAGGAATAGAGACATGATGGAAACTGCTGGCTCCTTTCATGTCTTCCCAGTCTTTTACATCAACAGCCTGAAGTAGGGTTGACCTTGCCTATATTTTTGAAAGTTCAGTGGAAAGGGTCCTTACAGCACTGAACTTGGAGTAATGGGACCTGAGTTTGAATCCTGGTTATGTTACTATGTTAACTGTGTGCTGTTGGTTAAATCATGTAACTCCTCTGGGCCTCAGCTTCCTCATCTGTAAAATGAGGGGTTGGACTAAATGACCTCTGAGGTCCTTTTCAGCTTAGCTAATTATATCATATTTAGTTTCATTTCTGCTATTTACATTTGCTGTAATTGTCATGTATATTGTTTTCTTGCTTCTCCTGGGTTGTGCCATTTTGAGAGGAAAAGCCCTTAGGTACTTTTAATTCCTAGAACCATGAAGAAGAAAAAAGCTCTCTGATTCTGATTGTTCTCCTCTAGTCTAGCATGAATTAGGTGTCACACACTAACTCTACACATGAAGTGATGTCACAATGAGCTGATGAATAAAGTGCATTTTTATTTTTTTTAAGTCCATGAAAAACCTACAGGTGCTACATTTACAAAGTTTATACAGTACCACACAAGGAACTTTTTCTGCTCTCTTGTCCCCTAGGAATATACACTACAGCTGAAAGTCAAGAATCTGAGAAGGTGAGAACAAAGTGAAATCAATCAGTGGCACTTTGTGTCAGGTACTATGTGTGATTCTGTGCAGCTGGTACAAGTCACCTAATCCCTCTGAGCCTCAGTTTCTCTCAGTGTTTTTCAGGTCTAAAATTCTAAGATTCAATAAATAGTGCAATAAAGTTTAAATGATTATTGCCCACACTTAGGCCAGTAATCCAGGGATGGCCAGGCTGTGGCAGAACTCACACTTGACATCAGTGATAGAAAAATATTGTGAAATACATGAAGTTTACATTCCCCCTTCCCTTCTGTGTTCCCAGCCCCTAAGTGCCCTCTCTCTCAGGAACCTCCCTACCCAGGTCTGGAATTATTGGGGGCCTCAAATGAAATATAACAAATGAAGTTATATTTGTCCTGGAACACAATAGGTGCTTAATAAATGCTTATTCTACTCCCTTCCCTTGGGACAGTTTCCAAAATTATCCCACCCTTCTTATCTTTCCCCTTCAAAAGTCTCATTCCCAGGTACCCTGATCTCTTTTAGCTTCCACAGAAGAAAGGTATGTGATTAGCTAATTCACACTTCACCCTAAGATATGCTTGATTTAAACGACTGAAAACAGGATCATCTATCTCAGGCACGCCTGTATTTCCAAAAGGTGTGTAAACTAAAGGACTTTATCTCTAATGATAAAATTTCAAATATTTTGTCTGGTGACTGGAGCCTGGGGAAGAATCTCCCCCCTCTCCCAACACACTCAAGGGCACCTTTGGGGTGCATCTGCTATGCCCAGTCCAGCCCTGCTCGTCATACCTTCCACAAAGCCTTGATTTCTGTTTTGGAAACAGGAATAGGTTTCCAGTTCCACAGAACAAGTTTCTGGTAGAACTATGATTCAAATTCTCTATCTAAACGTTCTAGTTCAAGTACAGCACATGTCTCAGGAGAAGAATCACCGTTTAATTCTTGGCCAAACAACAGTATATGTATTAAACAGAGTGTTCCAACAATTGAAATGTAGAGAGAAGGTGAAACACTCTAGGGGGTAGATTGAGGTATCAAAAAACCTAACGAGGTCCTTCCTGTTAAGGAATTTAATCCTAAATAAATAGGGCATGAAATCTTTCCATAAATGCTAATAAAAACTCTATTTCTAAGGAAGGGGGCGTTTAACCTAGCCTGCTGGCTAGAACAGAGGGCCCAGAGCCAGGAGTCATGATCTCTATGCTTTAATCCCAAGTTTGTTGCTAGTTAGTGGATTTGCAGGATAAGGGGAGGAGGGGAGGTTGGAGGCGGAGGGTGTCACTCTCGATTGTCCACTTTCCTGTCCCCAAATATACATTTTCTTCTGCAAATGTATGCTGCCACTTGGAAAGTAGCCTGCTCCACTGCCCTCACCTAGTGTTCTTAGGTGAACCCCAAACCAGTTTGGGGAGGATTGAGTAACCACAAGGGGTAGGCGGCAACGGTGACAACCTGTTCCTAAAAGCATAGGAGTAAAGGCTGAGGAGAAAACCGTGGCGGGCACATCTCCAAACCAGCCTCGCGAAGGGGGAATGCGCGCTGGTGAAGTAAAGGCGGAGCAGCATGGCTCTGCAGGTTCACATTCAGAGCCTCAGGGCGAACCCTGGATTTGAGGAATCTGGTCTCGTACTGCCCGAGAAAACTCATTTTGTTCCTAGTTCCTGCCTCCCCTCTCCCGCCCCAATTCAAGTCCCATCAGATGATTACGGAGCGGGGTGGTGGTGGCGGGAGCTGGGGGAGGCCTGGGGGAGGGGAGAAAAAGATCAAAGCTTGCAGAGCTCCCGGTCCGGGTAGCCCGGATCTTTAGAGCCCATTGGGGATGGAGGAATCCGATAGAGGCCACTGAAGGCCTCTTGGGGATGGGGCTGTGCTGCGGCAATTACGGTCTGCCCCCGCCTCCAGGCCATTCAAGGTCACTGGGCGGGGTTCTGAGCCCTGCCTTAGAAATGACCGGTCCGAAGGGTTCTGGATTACATATATCAAGAGCACCACCGTCCCCTTCTTCCTGCTCCTTCCTTAGTTTTCCGAGTCACTTTGGACCAGCTTGTCCGAGGAAGGGACGAGGGCTCTTCGGAGACTTGTTTGCTCCCGGGCACCACCCGGCGGTGGCCAGTTCGAGCTCGCCCCTCCTTTCACCTGCCTCCTGCAGCCTTCCAAACCTCCTCCTCCTTCTTCCTCGAAATAAAAGCTTCAGTTACCGGCCTCTTGCTGTTTCTGTCTCCAGCCTGCCCAGGTGTGCTGTGCTTTAGATACAAAGAGGGGGGTGCTAAAGCGTCGGACAAGAAGACTGCGCGTATATAGACACATTGTGCCGCTGTGCCCTGTCCGAAAGGGAAGTGCTGGACGGAGCAGCGAGGAGGAAGAAGCTGAAGATTTTTGCTGTGCTCAGAGAGATCCTCCGGCTCTCCAGTTGGCTAGCTGGGCTGCAACCTCAGGAGCGCTCGGTCTTCTGAGCGCCCGGGGTGGAGCAGTCTGGCCCCAGGCTATGTGCTCAGGTAAGGGACTCACTCAGGCCGCGGACTAGCAGCCAGCCAAACCTACCCTGGGAGTGTCGGGACCCCCTTTCGCCTGTGCCCGAACTCGGCTGAGTCAGCCAGGATTCACTCGCTCACCTTTAATTTGTCTCACTGCTGCAAAGTTTTGGACTAAAAAGTGGCTCTGGGCTATTGTGGGTGCTGGCCAACTGAAGGTGCCAGTCACGAGGGCTGTAAAGCTATAAATCAATTTCCTGCAGGGTAAATGATCGCATCTCACGGACTAGGGCCCCTTCCCGAATTCCTCTCTGATGTTAGTGGTCCCTGACCAATCACTGTGTATTTATTGTCTATATATAACCCTGCATTTGCTTATCTTTGAACGCGGACATTTAAGTTCCTTGAGGGCAGGCAGGGATCGCCTCGCATTTGTGTATGTGTGTGTGTGTGTGTGTGTGTGTGTGTGTGTGTGTGTGTGTGTGAGACAGCTAGGTGCCACAATGGTCAGAGAACTGAATCTGGGGTCAACAAGATCTCGGTTTAAATTCACACACAGGCGTTTATTAGCTGTATGACTCTAGGCAAGTTACTCAGTTTCCTCAACTGTAAAATGGGGATAGTAATAGCACCTATCCCCCCGGGTTATTGTGACGACCAGTGGAGAGAATATTGGTAAAGCGTTTAGCAGAATGATGGGCACTTAGTATGTGCTTAATAAAGGCTTATTAACTAATTGATAAGATTTGCAATCTTCATCTCGCACCTTTTGGCCTGGGCTAGATGTTGATGGGGAGATGCTTTTAGGGAATAGTTGGGGAGGGAGGTACAGGAAAGATATTAGCTTTCGGTCCTCGAGGAATTCATTTTTTCTATTCTGCTCTCAAGTCCCATCAGTGTAAAAGTGAAGGTTACCGAAATAAGAAATCGTATGGCTGCTGCTTCAATCAGCCAATAAATATTTATTAAGCCTCCACCGCGCGGCAGACGCTATGCTAAGCACTAAAGGCAAGAGGCAGTCCCCACTCTCTAGTGGGGGACATAACCTGCGAACAGCTATGTGCAAACAGGCTCCATCCAGGATAAATAGGAAATGATCATCCGAGGGAAGGCCCTAGGATTAAGAGGAATTGGAAGAGGTTGCCGGTAGATGAAGAGACTGAGGTTTGGACTCGAAGGAAGCTAGGGAAGCCAGCTAAAAGGGAACTTAGCAGGGGAATTAGTAGGCAAGCCAGTTGCTATGCCATGGAGAAAGAAATCATAGAGCCTACTGTGAGATTTCTCTTCTCTTCCTCTTCTTTTTCCTTCCCTATCTCCATGCCTCAGTCTGTTTCTCAGTATGTGCCTCTCTCTGTCTGTCTGTTTCTGTCTCTCTGTTTGTCTCTCCCTCCCTCCCTTCCCTGCCCCTATTTCTTCCTTTTCAAGATTTCAGTGATCATCCAAGTTAGGAGTATGCAAAATAAAATGAATACTCCTTAAAATTTTTTAGTGGAGGATTTGCCACCCCCCCTTTTTTCCATAAACACCAAACAGAAAGTTTTGGATATTCTTCTCTGGGTAGTTCTGAGAGAATTAAGAAAATGAACAGTCTTTTTAAACATATGGACCTCAATTGAATTGCATGACCATCTAGTATGGGTCAGAACTTTCTCTTTTATCCTTTGAGATCAGAATTTCTTTATTTTTTAATATTCTGAATAACTATTTTTAGAATTCTAGACACTTAGAATTGGAAGGGACTTTACAGGTTATCTTGTGCCATCTCCATTTTATGGATGAGGAAAATGAGGCCCAGGGAAGGAAAATAACTTGTCTAAGGTCATCCAAGTAGTCAGTTGAAGAATCTGGACTAGAACCTAAGTATCTTGACTCCCAGCCCACTGTTCTTCTCCCTTTGATAGCACTATACAGACTATTAGGTGCTATGTAAATGAATGTGAGTTTTTATTGTTACAGATGGGGAAACTTAGGAGTTTTTATTGTTACAAATGAGACCCACTGATATACTTAAGGTCAGAGAAGTAGTAGATAATGGCTGAGTTTAGCACAAAATAGACTTCCATCATTAAATCTAGGGTGCTTTCCACTACTCTCTGCTATCATCCTTCCTAGTAGGTATCATCTCTGCTTTTTTCTGGAAAAGTACTGCCCAATATGTTTTCCTTTCCCAAACTGACCTTCCATTAATTTACACTACTGTGATTTCAGTGTCAGTCTGACTTGGGTTTTTAATGCTTACTTCTTTAATTACCTCATAATGTCACAGACCCTGAGTGGGTCAAAGACTTAGAAAACATCTTGCCTTCTTTGAGGAAGCTTGAAACAACAACTTATAATGTCTGAAAATTGGAATGCATTTGAATATTATATATTTTATGACAAAGAATGAGAATCATCTGGAAGAGGTCTCTTTTAAGAATTGCCCAGTAATAAAATTATCTATAAATAAGCTTGCAATCTAAAAGCAGATTAAAAAAAAAAAAAGCTGAAGAAGAGTAATAGTAATAGTAATAGGTATTTATGTAGCTCTTTAAGGTTTGTAAAACCTTACAAATATTATCTCATTTACTCCTCACAACAACCCTGGGAGGGAGGTGCTATTATTATCCCCATTTTACAGATAGGGAAACTGAGGCAAACAACAGCTAAATGACTTGTCCAAGGTCACAGAGCTACTAAGTGCCTGATTTGAACTCAGGTCTTCATGACTCTAGGTCCATCGATCTATCCATTGTATCATATAGCTGCCACTAACAATTTACAAATGAGATAACATACAGTAATGCCTTGCAAACCTTAAGAGAGCTACATAGATGCTAGCTAGTAGTAGCTATTATTATGATTATTACAAAAACAGCCAAAATCAAATGAGATAACACGTAAAGTGCTTTTTCAAATTTTAAGAGGACAATATAAATGCTAACAATTCTTATCACAAAAATACCTGTCCTCTACATTAATAAAGATGTTGGTTTGAGTGGCTTTGGAGAGCAGCAATTTTTCCTAGTAGATTTTTCTTGCATATTTTTCTCCTACTCATGGTCTTGTTGTACTAAATAGTACCTTTAAGTTGTGATTTTTGTATCAGTTGTTCATTTTAAAATGAATCTCAGTTACTTTTTGCTGAAATATGACCAGCTTGGTTCAAAAATGTGAGTGCAAAGGCTCCTTTCCATCTAAACCAAGCTGGTTCTGATTCACCTACCTGCACTTGACTTTCCGTGCTCATGCCAGAAAACTGGTGGCTGTTTCCACGAATAGAGAAGCTATCTGGGTCCAAGATGACAAATATGTCATTTCAGGCCATGCCCATAGAGCTGGATCAGGACCACCATTTTGGCTGGTTTCAATTCAATTTGAATTTATTTTTTTTTTAAATTCAATTCGAATTTAAGGAGCACTGATTATTACTGAAGAAAATTCAATAACTGCCCCAAAAAAGGCAACCCAACTATTTGGATAAGTTGACCAGGGGACCTAAGAAATGGAAGTGATTTTAAAGATCTTCTAGTCCAACTGAAATAGAAATGACCCTTCATATTGACTTAGAAAACCTTAGATTAACATTATCAGTATTGTATTGTATTTTCATTTAGTTTATCATACATTTCCCAATTACATTTTAATCTGGTTCAAATTGTACGTACTTGGGAGTTTTGCTGGCCAGGAGTCTGATACCTCCAGTCCAGCCTAACCTCTTGCCCATTGCAGGAATTCACTTAAACTGCTGAACCAGCAATGAGTGTAGTCATACCTTCAATATAAACATATATAATGGAAAGGAGTAATATAAGTACATTTATACACTTAACTTGTGATTGTAATAAGGAAATGTGACATTTGTAGGTTGGGAAAATTCTGTGTATCTCTATGAGGGTTTATATACAGGGAATGAGCTTGTAAATCAGGAGCCAGTAGAAAGAGCCCTGGATTTGGAGTCAGAGAATCATAGCTCTAGGGCAGCTAGGTGGCGTCACAGTGCATAGAGCGCTGGGCCTGGAGTCAGGAAGACTCATCTTCTTGAGTTCAAATCTGGACTCAGACACTTACTAGCTGTGTGACTCTGGGCAAGTCACTTAACCTCATTTGCCTCAGTTTCCTTATCTGTAAAATGAGTTGGAGAAGGAAATGGCAAATCACTCCAGTATCTCTGCCAAGAAAACCCCAAATAAAGTCATGGAGAGTTGGACACAACTGAACAACAACAGAGTTGGGAATGCCCTCAGAAACCTTCTGGTTGAACTCTTTCATTTTACACATGAGGAAACTAAGTCCTACGGAGGTGAATTGATTTGCCTAAGGCCACACAGGTGATGGGCACCAAAGTTAAGGCTCAGGGCTCTTTCCACTGTACTATATTCCTTCTGAGGACATCACTTCAGAGCCTCTCTCTCCAACTTATGGCCTGGCCTGACCTCAGGCCTCTCGGAGGGTCAGTTTCCTCAACTGCAAAACAAAGGGGCCGGCCTGATGATCCCCAAAGTCTCCTCCAGGTCTAAATCCCTGATCCTCTGGTGTGAAAAACTGCACCCAGCTTTTGCAAGGAAGAAGGAACGAAAGAAAGATATAAAGAAAGCCTCTGTTCCTTACCATTGAAACTCCACTTCTTCTTTTTTTGTGTATCTCCATGAAATCTCCACTCGGGAATTTCTGAGTGTTGGGCCTTCTGATTGATATGCCAAATCATTGTTCTAAAATTCCTTCAGATGTTGTTCACCTGTGTGAAGTCCCAAACTCAAAAAGAGGAAGGGTTTCTGTTCTGAAAGGACTGGAAACATTCTGGCAAGAGGGAAAAGTACAGTGGGGAAGGACGTAATGTTTGGATAGATGCGTGCACTTCTTAAATTCTGTTATTTATTTTCAGAGCTCCCAAGGGCTGGCGGCATTCAGGATTCCATCGGCAGAATTCCCTTTCCCTTCGTGAGAAGGGATACTTCTGCGATGTCCCCAGCTACTGCTTCTGAACCTGGTGGGGATGTGAACGGAAGGTGCATCAGCAAAATCATTTTTTTCCTTTTTGTGTTTGGAGTCGTCTTACTATGTGCAGGAATCTTGCTTTCCATCTTTGGTTTCCAAACCTGCCAGTACGAAACCCTGACTGACTGCAGCACAGTCCTGAAAATCGTGGGGCCTTCATGCGCTGTGATTGGACTTGGAGCAATCATATTGGCCCGCTCCAGGGCAAAACTTCAGCTCAGAGAGAGGCAGCTGCAAGGTAACCAGGTTGACCCGGACAGCTTCTTTATTTGCGGAGAAAGTCGTCAGTTTGCCCAGTTCCTCATCTTTGGATTCTTGTTTTTAACCAGCGGGATGCTGATTAGTGTGCTGGGCATTTGGGTCCCTGGATGTAACTCAGGATGGCCTCAGCCACCTTTTAATGACACAGACGCTTCCAGTGCCAAGACACAGGCGTGTGGGTTTCTGTCTCTCCAGATAATGGGGCCTTTGATAGTGCTCATTGGATTATGTTTCTTTGTGGTAGCACACCTTAAGAAAAGACACAACTTGAGCTCTAGCCAAGACTCCTCAGAAAATGAAGAAAGGCAGTCACAGAACAATGAGCCTGTACAAGTCACTGTAGGTGGGTAAATCATACCAATGTGCTGATGTTGCCATTAGAGGCTGTCATATTACGAGTTTAGATTGGATTCTTCGGGCTATGGTTTATGGTTTCCAAACCCGAAGGGATAAATGGTAAAAATTCCTTAGGCATCATTTTATATATATTTGCAATAGCACTGTATTATTTTATTTTACCTATGAGGATTATGGATCTCACTCAGTAGGCTCTGAAATGTTCTAGAGCTTGATGCAAACAGTGCAATCTCCTCCACAAACATAAACCTCTGTTGGACCTCAGCATCCATAGGGAATCCTGATATTTGGGTTCTGTAGCAGCTCTTCCCCATGACTCCTTTGAGAGTGGGGTATACATTTACCTGTTTTATGCTTCATCTGATATTAACGATCAGAGGGTCACTCAACAAATGATTTCCATTAAATCTTTTAAGGAATCTTATGTAGTTTGGGGAGACACCTTGTTGGAGGAAAACCTTTAGTTTTTTTTTTCTAAACAGTTGACAAATAATACTTTTTTGAATAATCAACCAACAATTAGAACAATGAAATTTTATATTCTCAATTATGTGATGGTAAAGATATGGTATAGTATGGAATATTATTTGCAAGAGACTAACTATTTATTCCTTTATTCTATCTTAATCCACAATATCCTCAATGTATGTGCAGGTTATTCTCAAAAATTTTTTTATAAGCAAGGAGAAAATGGTATGTAGGTTGGTAGTTATTGATGTTTTCTCAGTCTTCTTCTTGGGAGGGGTGTAGTAATAAGATTTGAAGGTGTTTTTTTTTTCAAGCCTTCATCATACAACCCACTATTCATACAGGAAAAACCAACTGGATGAATCATGATTACTGTCACTCTACCAGGGGGGTGGAACCTGTAGCCTTGAGGCTACATGTGGCCCTCTAGGTCCTCAAGTATGGCTTTTTGACTGCATCCAAACTTCCCCACCCCCGTGTCTAGACAATCAGTTCTCAAAGTGTTGTCTGAGGAACCCTGGCAGTCCCTGAGGTCAAATAATAATTTTCATAATTCTAAAATATTCTAATTTTTTATACAGTTAAATATTGATAGATATAAGCCCCCCCCCCAGAACTCTTTAGGGTCTTCAATAATTTTTAAGAGTATAAAGGGGTATTGAGATCAAAAAGTTTGAGAATTGCTGGTCTAGACCATGATATGACATTGAATAGATAAGCCATAGAATTGGTCTACCTTATGTATATCTTGAATAGATACTGTGGTTAGAAAATGAGGTGGGCACATTATTGGACACAAAGGGTGAGCCAGATTGCCTTTGGAAAATAGTGCATTGCTTTAGATGACCCCAAGCTTCTCCTTGAACTAAAGGCCCATCTATTCCTTGAGGGATGCCATGTGACTATGAGTCATGGAATCCTTGTTTCAGAAGAATTAAAGGAGGGAAGGGAAGGGAACAAGCATTTATTAAGCACCTACTATATATGTCAGGCACTGTACAAAGTGTGGCAAGGCTCAAATATCATCTGTTCCTTACAATAACCCTGTAAGACAGGCACTATTATTATAGTGAGGCAGATAGAGGTAAAGTGCCTTGCCCAGGGTCACACAGCTTGTAAGGGTCTGAGACTGGATTTAAACTCAGGTCTTCCTGACTCCAGCCCCAGCACTCTATGTACTGTGTCACCTAGCTGTCACCCAAAAGGGCATTGGAGGCATAAGTAGGGGGCAACATATTATTTATATTATATATATAACCAATATTTATATTTTATATATATAACCAATATTTATATTTTATATATATATATACATACATACACATATACATATATATGTGTGTGTGTGTGTGTGTGGGTGTGTGTATAAAACCAAGAAAGAATTGCACAAGGGAAACAGCATAAGGAGGGCACCAGAAGTATGGCTGGAAAAGAGGTCAGCCAGTCATGAGTAAGGAGTCAGGGAATGACAGATATACAGCCTCACCTGAACCACTGGTCACAGCACAAGCCTAAGAAATGTAGAGGAAATTCCTCAGCTTGAGCTTTGCAGGAGAGGGTAGACAAGAGTTGCAATGGGTGAGAAAGTGCTGATGGGTTGCGATTTGCGCCATTGGAGGGAGTACCCACATCAGTGAGATCACAGAGCCAACAAAGGATTGCATGTTTGAAGTACCTCTGAGGGTCCAGAGTTTAGTGATTTTCCCCTAAGATTTACAGCAAACTTTTAGCAAAACAACAATTTAGAAGTAAATACTGGAGGAACTGGAAATTCTGGAGCAAATAGCTATCCTAGCTAACATTTATACAGTGCTTATTATATGCCAGGGACTGTCTACATCTACTAAGGGCTTTACAATTCTATCTCGTTTGATCCTCACAATGAGCCTGGAGGTAGGTGTTATGATTATCCTATTTTACAGATGAGGAAACTGAAGCAAATAGGGATTTTTTTTTTAAGTAGAAAGAACACAGTACTTGGATTCAAGAGACCTGTGTTCAAAAAATCTGAGTCAAGAAGCATGTCAGAGGCCATCTAGGTCAACTTGTAACTGAAAAGGACTTCTTTCTCCAACCTCTCTGGCTAGTGCTCTCAAGCTTCCCCTTGAAAAGCTCCAGTGAGGAGGGACTCCCTCCCAAGGTGACTCAGTCAACTTTTGGATAGCTCTTGTTGTTCAGTCATTTTTCAGTCGTGTCTGACTCTTTATGACCGCATTTGGGGTTTTCTTGGCAAAGACACTGGAGTGGTTTGCCATTTCCTTCTCCAGCTCATTAAACAGATGAAGAAACTGAAGCAAACAGGGTTAAGTGACTTGCCCAGGGTCACACAGCTAGTAAGTGTCTGAGTCCAGATTTGAACTCAGGAAGATGAGTCTTCCTGACTCCAGGCCCAGTGCTCTGTCCATTGGGCCACCTAGCTACTCCTTGGACAATTCTACACCCAGACAAAATCTATCTCTGCAATTTGAGAGACGGTCACCAGTGTACAAATCTTGCCTCAGGTGCTTACTAACTGTGTGACCGTGGGCAAATCGCTTAATCCTTCAAAACTCTCAAAAGCTTCCCCATGTGTAAAATAAAATTAGCTCTCTTCCAGTTCTAAATTTATGACCCTCTAAGCTTCTAACCATCACACCTACTTCTGCTCTCAGGGCCACCCCTCTTTCATGCATCAGCTCTTCAAGAACTTGGGGATGATAATGTTTTCTGTCTTCTTGCCATCCTGGTCACCCTCCAGCCCATTGATGTCCTTCCAAAAGCAGGGTGCCCAGAATATTTTTTTCACTTTGTGGGAATTAATTTCATGCGATTCTCAGTCTAATCAATTGGTGGTACAAACGGTAGTCAACCTGACAGGTGACTGGTGATTATACTGAAGCGCTGTGGGCTCAGGCAAACAATCGATCAAAGGGATAAAACTCAGCTCTGACATTTACTGCATGTCTGACTTAAGGCTAGTCACTTAACCACCAATTCATTGTGAGAAAAGCATTTTGTAAGCCTTAAAGTGCTTTGGATTTTGACTGATTATTATCATTAAAATGCCCTTTTAATAAGATAATAAGGGTTAATAATAACTCCCATTTCTGTAGCACTTTCATATTCGTAAAGTGCTTTCCTCATAACTCCATAAGGATTGTTAAATAAAGTGCCAGACCTGGAGTCAAGACCTGAGTTCAAATCCTGCCTTAGACACTTATTAGCTATATGATCCTGGGCAAGTCACTTAACTCTGCCTCAGTTTCCTCATCTGTAAAAATGGAGATAATCATAGCAACTACCTCCCGGGACTATTGTGAGGATCTAATGAAATCATGTATGATAATTGTAAAGCTTTTAGCACAGGGCCTGGGATGTAGTAAGCACTGTATAGATGTTAGCTGCTATTATTACTATTATTGTTGTTAATACTATAATCCCCACTTTACCAATGAGGAACTGATCCTGGGAGAGGTTTAAGTCATTGCTCTTGATTATGCAGCCTTTATATGTCAGAGGCAGGATTCAAATCCAGGTCTTATGTCTTAAAGTTAGCACTCCATTCTACCAAACTAGCTAAAGCTCTACAGCATATGACTGGAACCCACTTGGCCTATTAAATCGTACTTTCTGTAGATTCCAGAGCTCCATAAATCAGTCATTTGTCTCTTGGGGCTTAAAGCCAAACAAAGGAAAAAATGAACTACACATCTTGCACCTTTTCAGGATCATTAGCTACTTCGGTCATCTATATTTAGTTGGTAAACTATATTTAGCTTCAGCTTGTGAAAAATTAGCCAAAGGTGATTATAAAGGGCAAACAACTCCAGAAGTCCACTCCCTAATTGAAAAGGATAAAGAATGATTGGAAAGATGATAGATAGAGCTCTTCTTGTTTGACACTGACAGAGATAAATACCCAGGGGCAGGAGACCACTTGTATTTTTTTCTTTGGTTGGTTAATTTAATTACTGCTGAGTCAATTCATTAACTAGACTTCTTACTTTGTGCAGGGAGGGGTTGACATTGAGGAGGGGTAGGACACTCAATATTTATAAATATTCAATAGGGTGATCCCAGTTGATGCCTTCTGTTTATTTACTTGGGTGTGACTTCATGAAAGAACACCTTTTTCTATGCATATTCCTTCATTCATATACTCCATCTTCTCTACATTCAGGCTAGGAATTGTGGGTGTTTGTATCATGACAATGGACTTGGCTAGATAATGGGTTTGGTTGGAAAGGTCACAGAGTAGGCTATTTGGATTCACTAATGATAAAGGCTGCTAGGTGGTGCCATAGTGGATAGAGCACAGGGCCTGGAATCAGGAAGACACATCCTCTTGAATTCAAATCTGGCCTCAGACCCTTACTAGCTGTGAGACCCTGGGCAAGTCACTTAACCCTATTTGTCTCAGTTTCCTCATCTGTTTAATGAGCTGAAGAAGGAAATGGCAAACCACTCCAGTACCTTTGGCAAGAAGAAAAGTCGGACACAATTGAAAAACTACTGAACAACAACAAAAGAGGTAAAGCT